AACGGAGAGTCTCCAGACTGATCTGCGAGTGAAACCTTGAAAGCTCGCGAGATCAGGATGGTCTCACGAGGCTACCTTTAGAGGGGAACTCCTTAATTCAGAGATGGTGATTTACCTCCACATACAAACAAAACACCTCATCAGGGCGACCACAGGTATGGTAAGTGACTGGCCACCCTGCAGCTCTGCCTCTCTGCACATCCTCTTAGAAAACAAGTGGAAATAGTTCTGTTTTTAGTATTGATTGATTGATTGATTGATTGATTGATTGATTGACTAAGACATCTTTACTGTAAATATACACTTTGCTGTATTTGCTTTGGTTTAGACATTTACTTGATTACCTACTAAAGGTCCCATTAGGTGTAATGATTCTGCCCGTAGTGGACTCCTGTTTAAGTTTCTTTTTAAGTATTTAGTTACAGTTTGATTGTCAATCTGTGTCATTGGTTCCTTTTCCATGTTGTGATATATTAAAGCAGTGTTGTATTTTTTAAGTTATCCTCTGCTTGCTCCCTATCAGTTAATTAGTCCTTGCATTGTTTCTATTCCCCATATATACACCAGTTTCTTCAGTTGCTCATTGCTAGATCCTCATCATTTGGTTTATTCCTATCTAGAGTCTCACAGGTTTTTGGTTCTTGAGTTTCCTTAATGATCAGTTCTAGACTTTTTATTTTGTATTTTTACTCTTGCCTGCCTTCTTCTACTCTGTATTTGGATCCAACAATTACATCCACCAATCCTGACACTAGGTGTACCTTCCACAGTGACAGTACATGAATTAGCAATGTGTGAAAAAGACTAATATTCCTGACACCAATAATTTCCCATGCTTAAAGGTGCAATAAAAAGATGGTGTTATGTATCCTCTGATCCACTGAGCTAAAGACAAATAAAGACATGTTAGTAATGTAATTTAAAATTGAGTCAAAGTTAATGAGCTGCAGCCATGATTGCTTTCTGCAATTATAAAGTACTTTTCAAATGAACTCAATTAAAACCTACTGTTTGTGAACCACAAAAAAAAAACAAACAGGAACACATTTTTGATGTTTTGAAATAGTCTTTGTTCTGCATAGATGTCATCCATCAGTCAGCTGTCTTCTACCGTCCCTTTTTTCTTTGATCACTGAGTCGGACGGAGCGATCAAACCTTTAAATTAGTCCTTGAGCTCCGATCTGAAACCCGCCGCCTCGTAGGCTTCACCTTTTGATGCGGCTGAGTCTCTCACACATGACGGAGAGGTACTGGGTTAGCTTCACCATGGCGATGATCACAGATCCTCCAATCAAAGAGAAGGTTGGCCAAAATAAAGAGTGAAAGACAGCGATCCGACCATAAATCTGTGTCATGATGGCGCTCCCTGTCTTCTCCGTCGGGTTGACGTAACACTGGACTGTATGCTGAGACCTGAGTCGCTGGGAAATGTTCTGAACTATAGCGTGTGTCGCAGCGTAGTTCTTATGGCACTTTGGAATGTAGAAACACTAAAAAAGCAAACAAAGAAAAAAAAATCATTGGATTCAGTCTGATAAATGACATTTCCATATGTTTTCAATGTATCATTCTACTGTATATTCTTGACTAATGCTTAAATATTATGGTAATACTGTCAGGATTTGGTTTTAAGGTTTTTGTGAGGACCCAAAAGCAGAAGCTGAGAGGCAGGGGTGAGATCTTTGAAGGTTTAATTAAAGGAAAATTCCGGTTTTTAACACTTTTAGCCCATTTTCTGTAGTGTCCAGGATGAAATCGAATGATCAACACCAAAATTTTGACGATTGGTCCTGTCTCTGCT